TATAAAAAACTGCTCAGAAATGAATAGAAGCAAAAATAGTTGTGATTAACTTTACTTAAAAAATGAGCATAGATGCTTATTTTTAATGACTTATTACAATTCAGAAATAAATAGAAGAAAAAATAATTATGGTTAACTTAACTAAAAAATGAGCATAGATGCTTATTTTTAATGACTTATTACAACTCAGAAATAAAAAGAAAAAATTAAATATAGCAGAAAAGAAAAAAAACTATATAAAAAACTACTCAGAAATAAATAGAAGCAAAAATAGTTGTGATTAACTTTACTTTAAAAATGAGCATAGATGCTTATTTTTAATGACTTATTACAACTCAGAAATAAAAAAAATATAGCAGAAAAGAAAAAAAACTATATAAAAACCTACTCAGGAATAAATAGAAGCAAAAATAGTTGTGATTAACTTTACTTCAAAAATGAGCATAGATGCTTATTTTTGATGACTTATTACAATTCAGAAATAAATAGAAGAAAAAATAGTTGTGATTAACTTAACTAAAAAATGAGCATAGATGCTTATTTTTAATGACTTATTACAACTCAGAAATAAAAAGAAAAAAATTAATATAGCAGAAAAGAAAAAAAACTATATAAAAACCTACTCAGAAATAAATAGAAGCAAAAATAGTTGTGATTAACTTTACTTAGAAAATGAGCATAGATGCTTATTTTTGATGACTTATTACAATTCAGAAATAAATAGAAGAAAAAATAGTTGTGATTAACTTATCTAAAAAATGAGCATAGATGCTTATTTTTAATGACTTATTACAACTCAGAAATAAAAAGAAAAAAATAAATATAGCAGAAAAGAAAAAAAACTATATAAAAAACTGCTCAGAAATGAGCATAGATGCGCTTATAGAGAAAATTCAACCTAAATTCATAATAAATTTCTACTAATTTCAGAGAAATTCAATATGAATTTAGATTAAATTTCCTGTATAAGGTCATCTATTTTCATTTTGAGAGGAGCTCAACAAAGGGAGAGAGGGAGGGGCTTATAAACCGGTCTGATTCCCCTTCGGTTGGCGAGGTGGGACTAAACTCTGACCGCAACGAGGGCCAACCCTTTAGTCCCAGTTGGTGGCTTGAACCGGGACTAAAGGGCAGCCTTTGGTCCCAGTTCAAGCCACCAACGGGACCAATGGTGGTGGGCCAGGAGCGAGGCGCATTGGTCCCGGTTCGTCCCACCAACCGGAACCAATAGGTCCAGACGAACCGGGATCAATGGCCCACGTGGCCCGGCCGGCCCTCGGGGCTCACGAACCGGGTCCAATGCCCCCATTGGTCCCGGTTCTGGATTGAACCGGAACTAATGGGCGGACCTGGCCTAGACCATTGCCCCCTTTTCTACTAGTGGTGGTTTGAAATGGACTACCACATACGAATGTATATAGACATATTTTACAGTGTAGATTCGCTCATTTTGCTCCGTATGTAGTCATTTGTTGAAATCTCTAGAAAGACAATTTTTAGGAACGGAGGGAGTAGTAATTTGTGTAGCAATTAGTGCTACCAGAGAATAATAGACACAGCCGTGCCACCTGTCCCAAGAAAACTTAGGGTTCCTCTGCCTCCCGTCGGCACCGTCGCCTGTCTGTCTCGTCTTCGGCGGCCATAGGGCCATAGAGGCACGGTGGATCACGACCCTTGCCGGCTGGAGGCCTCCGTTTTTAGACGTTTCTTTGAATTTTGTTAGGGCTTTTGTCCTGCTCGGGAAGGTGAGACTGCGGCGGCTACCTGAAGATGGAATAAGGTTTTACCCGCCCAGCCTTTGTCCCAGTGGTCCGTCTAGCATCGTCGATGGGCGTGTGGAGGTATGTCTCTGGTGGATATGTTTTTGACTGATCTACTGGAATCTAGTCGTCATTTGTCTATGTTTATGTGTCTTCAAGTTGGATCATTCCGATCTACGCAACTCTTCATCGGCGACAATTGTTGTTCTGGTGCGCTGTCCTGTGGGCCTTAGCACGACGATTTCCCGACAGTCTACTACAACAAGATTTTGTCCGGCTCCGAAGAGGTAGGGGCGACGACGGCGATGCGCCTTCAGCTCGCTTCAGTGCTTGTAATCGTCGCTGGACGGTCTATGGATCTTAATGTATTTTTTAATATTTTCTATGTCGTTGTACTGCCATCATTGAAGATGAATAGATCAGAAGTTTTTTCATCAAAAAAAGTGCTAGATAAGCATAGACTACTTCAATATGAAGCTTGGTAATTACTCTTCAAGCCCTGGCGTGTGTGTGGAAACATGTGATGAATAATGATATTTTCGTAAACAAGTTATCGAGGCTGTTTTTTATCATACTCCAATTATTGTTGTTGCAGATCTGCGGAGATGTAAGTACATCAATAGATGAACTAGATAGTGTGAATCGACTGAACTCACAAGTGCTTTCCTCATTGGCACACATAACATAACTTACTACCGTATGATGTAAAGTGAAATAAATTTTGAGGAAATAACAAAAATCAAACCTGCATCGTATGTGAATGTATTTAATTGTACTTGAATATAAACAAGTGTCCTGCCCAACCATATGCTTGGCTGGATGCTAGTTGTGAATGAGTTTTTTCAATACTTGCGAGCACTATTATTATTTAATCAACATTTTTTCCATATTCACAAACATTTTTTGAAATAATGATTTTAGTTTATTTGCGTATTTCCGTCATCGGCCATTACCTTGAGGGCCCCCTTGTCTGACGTGTCACGGGTCAACGATGCCAGCTGGCCGGTTAGGCAGGGTCGGACAATTTTTAGACTTTAATGACACATTTACTGCACTTCGAGGATTTGGATGACAATTTTCATATTTGAGGACTTACATGACACCCATGAAATTCAGGGACCTACAATGCACTTCACTCGAACTAAAACAACCATCTAATTTGACCACCACCCCTACCACATCCAGGGCCATGTCTAACTCCTCTTAACCAGGTTGCTCACATATCCTTAAAGACAAAGGGCGGCGTGGGAAGGGGTGAATCCCATCGCTTTACTCTTTGTACATGTGACCAAGGTTTCCACACACAGAGCACTAGTTTGGGAGTCGTTCATATTTTATGCAAAAGATCTAGCGCTTATTATCTGTGCTAAGTGAAACAACATTCTTCGTATGTTTATTAACACTGATCTTAACTTCAACTCTGAAAAAAATCCGTCAAAATCCTGTGACTTCGGTTCAGCATAGATAAATTCGCTAACCTTCCCTGCTAGTGATTTCAGTAACAACACATACTCATCTGGTAGGTCACAGATTTAGGTCCATATCTTTAGAGAATCGAGCTTGATTGGCAAGGGTTATGTAAACTCTTCGTATGGCGCCAACACCACAAAAATTCCAAGGCCCTTCTTCCATAACCCATTTTGAATCGTCAAGGCAATAGGACTCCAAGGTGTAAAGGTTGTCGTTCAGGGGGCGAAAGGCCACCTCCTTGGCAAAATTCCACGCCACTCTCATGTTCTTCTAAAAACTGTATTGGTTGTTGAGCTTGTCCATATGGACTCGGGCAATGGCTATCCATCATGTCAAATTAGCCATCAGTACTTCATCCCGTTCCACAAAAACATCATGGAGGTCGTCCTCTCTAAGCCCAAGTTACTTCGTCAAGGCCTCCACCTCGCTCATGTTAGTACCCGAGTCAGGAGCTTCATTGTCGATGGCGAAAACCTAGCCCGATGAGAAGAAATCGTCGGGCATCGAACCCTAGGTCCTCTGAATCTACTGTGGGACCACCCAAGGCCGGACAGTGATCTATAGGACCGCCTCATGATCAGTCTGAGTCGGTCCTTATGGGAGATTTAGAGGCAAGGGAGGCAAAATCTCAACGATGGCATCAGCATCGCTGATAGGAAAAGCTAACCCTAGCGTAAGGGGGAAAAGAGGTCTTGATGATGTCCAGTAGGTTTGTTTACACAATGGTGGTTTCCAATAGGTGATCCGCATCGGAGTTGCCCTAAGGCTTGGTTTACTGTGTGTGATGTTATTTCATGTAAACAAAATTCCAATGGTGTGGCCCAAATAAATGTGTGTGTGTGTGTGCGCGCGCGCGCTTGTGTCATCGGCAATACGTGAGTCACTACCAGACTATTTAGACCGCGACGTAGGATTCGTAGCAAGCGGTGTGGTACTATTGTTTCTTTCGGCACGGTGTCGTACTCGTTCACGGACCCAGCGAGCCACCTCGATCGTCTTCCGTCCAGCTAAGATGTGCCTTTCCCTGAAAAAAAAGAAGCTAAAGTGCCTCTTGTCCTCCGGGGTCATCAGCACCGTGCCTCATCTCGCCGACGACTGAGCACCATGCCGACCTCATGCATCTCTCGCTAGTTTCAAAGCTACGTAGTATTGTAGTAGTACGTATTATACACATGCAAATTTTTATACTAGCCTGTTGTAACAAGATGCAATCAATCGTCTAAAAGAAGTTTCAAGATGCAATTAACAATCGCAATCCTGACGCATCTGGTTGGCTCGACAAAACTGAGCTAGCCAACTCTTCATTTGCCATTGAATTCATTAAGTACTCTCGTTTCCATGGACCGTTCGATCAACTAGATGACCCGTTGCGCCTATGGCGCAAAGGCCGAATGTAAGCCAATTGGTGTAAGAGTGTGCATTAACATATTGTTTTTCAAAAAGAATAGCTCATATACTATATGCAGTAAGTACATAAGATTAGAAATGATACACCAAGTAATGCAGGAAAGGACCCTTGTGATCTTTTTAAATTGGATAAATAATCATGTAGAGGACTTTGGATATGAACTTGAAGGATCATATATTTCCTTTCTCATGGTTGTTTCAAAAGCATGCGATAGAGCAGTCTAAGTAGCGGATAATCGATAGCTAAATGCACAACACTGTCTTAGGGGATTACATAAGATCGAAAAGGAGGATAAACATTGATGTCTTTGTAGGCATTTATACTAATACTATGTTATATAGAAAGGGGCTCCTGCAACTTGCTTATATTGAGTAGACAATCAGGTGCAATCCCTTGGAAGTGCATTTAAAGCCGAAAGCATATGCTTGCCCTTCGTTCATGTGGGTCCGACGGAAGAAGTCGCTCCAGCCTTTAGTGATGGTGGCCCTTTTGTCAACTCCCTTGATAAAGCGGGCCGTGACAGTGGTTGTTCCATCTCCAGTTGTGATTGGAAGTTCACCGTGGTCAGCATCCATGTGTGGGAAAAGAGAACCCGTAGAAAATTGGACATTAAAGTACTGAAAACAGTAGTAAAGGTTAGTCACTATATCATTTTATACCATGCTATTATATGAAACAGAACAGAATAATTGCGAAGGATTACTATTCTTTTGCCTTGTGTTGCAAATGTTTCTGTCATGTGGCACACATAGTAGTTATTAGGCGTGGTGGTGCTGCTGATGATCTTTTGCAGTGCACGAACATTATGGTTGTAGAGCCTAACTGTGTTGCCCCACACAACGTGGCGACTAAACTCATCTAAGTAGTGCTTGCAAGGCTCACCTATGTTAAATTGGACAAAATTATACTTTTCAGTAGTTGTTGCGAGAGCTGATGGAATGGGAAGAGTAATGTAGTTCTTACCACCGAGAATGAACTTTCCGGGCTTTAGATGGATTTTCTTGCCTTTGAACTTTTGGATTGAGCTTGCTTTGCGTGGGCGATGAATATACTCATATCGCTTATTGTGCTTCCGACATAGTGGTTCGTCTGTGTTGAATAGGTAAGAAGAACATTGTAAAAGGTTGCAACAGCAGATAGAGGATAACATAAACAAACAGAGGGGCTAATTAGCTTGTGTGTATTAGTGAAAGGCAGAAAATGGTATCCATTGTATATGGTAAGATGGAAGTAGTAAGCAGTGCTTGCACATGTAACAACAAATAAATTACAGCATTAATGAATAGCAAACACAAGATCTATTGGACCCTGAAAGAAGTTTGTTTTATTACATACTTGATCAACTTGCATGTGTAAGTGTTATACAAAAAACTTTTCAAATAGCATGCATCAGCGAAGAAGAAGAAACATTCTTTGAAATTTATAAACAATTATAAATACATTTTTCAGAATTACCATGGGTAATTTGGCCACCGCTGGTATCATTGGTTGTGTCTACCTCCTCTTGTTTAACAGCAGCCATCTGAAAAGAAGTAATAGAATAATTAAGCTGATATATTAGACCGTGGTATTAGTTGTGATGATTAACAGTGATGCACACAGACTTAACAGGCCATTAGTAGTAAAAAGGCGGTCATTATATTTAATAAATAATCCTAGCCCTCAAAAATCTGATTTCTTTATGTGGGAGGGGAAGCATATCGCTCAATGCCAGTGGGTGAAATCGACGGCATCGCATCGAACCCAGTAGAGGGCAGATCTCTCTCGCCTCATTTTCAAGGTGAGGGCAGATCTCTCTCGCCTCATTTTCAAGGTCTGGCGGATGAAGATCTCATGGATCTTGGCCATGTGAGTGCTCTTCATTGACTTGAAGATTGGCCAGTTCTCAAAGACGATCTTGAGCGAAACAATAAACTGTATGCGAATAATCAGGATGGGATAGTGCTTGTGAGCATCATATTAAGAACCAGAGACATGGCAAAAATTATGGTGATTTCATATGTTAATAAACCGGAAAAAGTAGCAAGATGAGTCTGAAAAACAAATCTCTTGACAGTGCTCTCTGGCAAGCGTTGCAGAGATCGAGAAAACTCAGTCACAGTCTCTATAACAACATCTCCTATAGGCTGGGCGTAACATACAGATTTTTGGAGCTACAGTGTCTTCCAGCATAGAATCTAAAATAGTGCTTGATGGAAGATGTACAGGATCTATTTGGAAATTTTGAGATGATATTGTAAGTGTTAGGTTATCTCTCATAAAAATAACTATATAAGTATTAGATAAATTGATTTGCCTCTTTATCGATTATGTAAGAGAAATCTTGGCTAGTCTGTACGAATCTAATGCAGTTGTTGGATCCTACCTCGTAAATCTGGCGGTTGGAACGCGTATGCAGAAGGGAAGAGGTGGCTTGTTCGTTGGTGAGTCCTCGCCAGGCGTGCCGCGAGCGAATACGTCGGTAGCAACACGCCGTGATGACGGATAGCGGCGCTACTTCGGAGCGGCTTCTTGGCCATGGCTCCAGCAGCCGGTCGATGCCAGGTCGGTCGCTGTCGATGCGGATGGGGGAGGTGGTCCGGCGGTGGATCTGGATAAGGAATCTGGAGCGGCTGAGTTTAATGGGAGCGGCTGAGTTTAATGGAAGCTACGGGCTCCTTCTAAAAAGGGCCAGGCGAAGATTTCTATGGGCTGGTGATGGGCCGTGAAATTTTTCGAAAGCCAATGTATTAAGCAGGCTGGTCTATTTTACAGAAACTTGTTTAGTTGATGGAGAGCGTTTTTTGCGGCTACAAAAGCCAGAACCATATTATTATTATTATTTTTGCGGGGCAGAACCACATTATTATGTTTGTTAATGAAAAAAATTATTTCTGCGCAGGCATTGCACAGAGATTTAGTAGTACACATTTTTTCTGTTGGCATAAAAAAATGTATAGCATAGTCAAGGAGCTATATGATTGGTTGTCTATGGTAGAAAGAAGGGCGACAAAATGTTTTGCGAAGGAAAATAAAAACCTAAATGCTAAAAAGCAACTGAGTGCTGGTTGTCATGTTTCAGCACTCACCTTTTAGCACCGTCCGATCGGCGCGATCGAACCCAGGTATTCCTGGTCGGGACGATCGGTTCGTCCTCCCCCCGCTGACACGTATTCACCTGGAGGCCCACCACTACCCACGCGCCCCGTCCGTTGCCTCACTGTTCGAAACTGCCACCGCCCAATCCTCCCAATCCGCCCCATTCTCTCCCCTTCTCTCCCTCCCTCCTCGACGCCAATCCCCCAAGCCGCTGTTCAACCGCGGCCCCCAAACCGCCGACGCCGCCGACGGCTGCCGGAGAGCGGAGGGCGTGTGCGGCGGCAGTGATTGAGCGACAGAGCCCCGCGAGTGTGCATAGGTGCGCGCAGCCCCCGGAGAATACGACGGAACGGGTCCAATCTCGTCGCGCACAGGGGCAAAAAGGGTGCGTGCTGAAGGTCGCAGACGGCGCTGCGTGTCCGGTGTGCTAGCGTTCTGAATGATTCTGGAATCCTGAGGTATGCACCCATCACCGCTGTTCTCTCTGCTTTTCTTCGTGTGCTCCGTTGTAGAGGGTTTGGATTTAGCGGGGATTCATGCGAACATGGAGGTGGATTTAATCACGCGCTCATAGGTTGTAGTGGTTTTTGCTTCAGTTAGGGATGAATCGTGGTGCCTTCGTGGTGGGGAATCTCGGGGTCATGCCGTGAGGGATTTGGTGGCGTGCTGTTAGTCCTCGTGCAGATCTGTTTGGTCTGAGATGGGCATTTGCTTCTGGCAGATGTTTGGTGAACTTCGTTTAGGGTTTTTTTCAGTAGTTGCTTAGATTTTTGCGCTAGAGTTGCCTGATTGAGGCTATTTTGAGGTGGCGAAATAGAACTCTCTGAAGAGTTGCCTCGAACAGCTTATGGAGTTGCTTCGATTTTTGCGCTAGAGTTGCCTGATTGAGGCTATTTTGAGGTGGCGAAATAGAACTCTGTGAAGAGTTGCCTCGAACAGCTTACGGAGTTGCTTCGATTTTGTGCATGAGTTGCCTGATTTTGGCTTTATGAGTTGGCAAATTTAGAGCTGTTTGAACTACCAGGCGTTGGGGCGTTCACTGAGTTGATGTGACATTGTATACAAGTTGCCTGTTCAGCGTTGATTAAGTTGCCAAAACTTTGTTAGAGCTGTCTGAACTACCTTTACTGGGGCTGTTAACCGAATTGCTTCGACTTTTGTGCATGAGTTGCCTGATTGTGGCTTTATGAGTTGCCGAAACTTTAAAAGGAGTTTGTGTAGTTCAGTTTTCATTGAATAGCTTCGATAAGCGGTCGCCATTTGCAACACATATGCTAAAGTATCAGACTACAACTGAGCACTTCACGAAATACTTGCTTTTTGTTTAGCCTTGTGTTTGGCACCACACATGGTGCTACCTGGACCGTGTCTCCCCGTTATACTCATGATAATAATTCATAGCTGTGCTTTGACAAGTGTTTTTGTTTGTTGTTTTCTACATGTATCTGTTATGGACATCTATTTACTGTGTTGTATATTTCCATCACAATTTTTTCAAAACTGCAAAATTGCCAATTGTATAAGAGGATTACAAGTTTTAAGATGCCCAAACTTTTCTTTTAATACATAAGATGTCTTATTAATGATGGTGTAGTTTGCTGAATTTTACTGATTGTTGTGGCAGCGTTCGAAACAGCATATAAGTTGTTCGTTAGCTCGAACCAAAGTTGCCTAATCAGCACCTGCGTAAGTTTGTTTTTGTTGTCTAAACCAAGTTTGTGTTGCTTTAATGGTTCATCAGCGAGCTCTAGGAAATGTATCTTTTCATGTTTTTATAAGCAACCTACAGTGTTACAAGTAGTGAAGTCCTTTTTTTATCAGCAACCTGAAAATACTGTATTATGTGTTTTGCAGTGTCCAAAATGTCTGAGGCAATGAAGGAAAGTGATGGTCAGGGTTTACAAGAAAACCAAGAGGGTGTACGAGGAGCAGAGGTAAGACTTCTGAGCGTGGCACGGTGGAGTGTCTGTCATGTTTGCCATGTTCGAGTTCCGTGACCTTTTTGCAATGCGAAACAGACGATCAAATTATTCCCCCAATGCAGGCACACTCACTACAACAACAAAACCCAAATATAATTGGCTACAAGTGTATGCGCACCAAAGGAATAATTTGTCATGGGAAGCGCCCGTCAGACATAGACAGCAATGCCAGTGCACAAGATGATGACTCAGAAGGCAAGGAGGTCACAGAGGAGGGTGAATCACAGCCAAAACGCTGAAAAACATCCGGAAATGAGGTATTCATTCATCACAGTCAAGGCAGTATGGATTTTGTGCGTTCTTTTTAGAAGTTGCAAGATGAATGTGTCATTTTTTTACCAATTTTAGGTATGTTTTTTGGCTGTTAAATCGTGCGTAAGCAAGGCCACTAGCAGTTTTGAGCATGTTGAAGTTGTAAGAAAAAATGATGGTATTATGTATAGGAGAAACATTGCATCATCATGGAAACAATATTGATACTTGCTAATTTCTGTCACACAAAGTTTAACTTAGCCCATTTTTACACACTTGTAGGGTCGCAGGAACAGGGCATCACCAGCAAGGTTGTTCAAACTAAACAAAGACTTAGTGCAATTTCAGAAGGACGAGGTAATTCGAATTGAGTTTGGAGGTCTGTTGCAGATTGCAACATGTAGCATGCCAGGAGACTTAAGTCAGTGGGTTATGAAGCATTACGACCCCGAAATTTCCCAACTTGTTATCCCAGAGAGGGGCAAGATTCCAGTAGATGCAGCAAGTGTTCACAGGATATGGGGTCTGCCAAACAGGGGGAGGAAGGTTTGCTACGAGAATAGAGCAGATTACACATCCAAAATGTACAAAATCTTGAAGATCAGTACGAAAGGCTCACCAACACTAACATCTTGGTGCAAAATGATCAAGGATATGGCTGGGGCAGCAGATAACAATTTCCTGCGTGCTTGGTTGGCAGTTGCATTCTCCTGTTTCCTTGCTCCTACCACAAGTTTAAACATATCCCCACGGTGTTTTCCTGCTGTGATGCATGTGGATGCAATAACGGAGACGAATGTATGCCAGTTTGTAGTAGATCAATTAAAGTTGGCATTCACGGGAGCAGGTGATAAAAACGCAGTCTGCTGCTGCGTCATGCATTTAGTTGTAAGTCTATCTTGCTCTTTGTCCTTTTTTCCATAGTTTTTCATCTTCCTGCTCTTGTTGTTCATCTACTCATTCTTTCCGTTTTGTGTTTGATTTTGCCTCATGTAGCTGTTATATCTGGACTCATTGGATGTGGACGAACCGATCGCAAGCACGGTTCCAAGAGTGTCGGTTTGGGATTCTGATCTTATTTCCAAGGTCATTAAGAAGGACAAAAAGGGCCGGGGGAGTTTGGCAAGTTGCGGGTAAGTTTCCTCTTATGTTTGTGAAGCACATGATCATTCAGTCACTTTAGTTTTCTTTCAATTTTGTAAGGAGGTCA